GAAATACACAAAAAACAGGAAAAAATAATTCAGTAAGAGGCGTGAACCCAAGATAATTCAGTATCGAAATTACGATATAGGCCACTGACTTCAACTAATATAAGCGAGAGATGATGACACTCTACTTACTATTCCGAAACGAAGAAGAGAAAATATTACATATGAAATATTTTACAATTTATGATGATAGATAATAAGGATATTATTCTGCAGAGGAGAAAATAGTTCGAGTCAGACCTAGACATTAATAAAAGATTATATTTTTTGTGTGTGTGAGAGAGGAGATTTAAATCCTATAAGATAAAATCTTTTGTCACCAGTAAATGAAGAATATCAAAAAAATGGACGTCGTGAGAACTTAGCACCATTCAATGCCATCACGAACTACCAACATACAATTCAACAGTTCATCAGAGACTTGCAGTACCTAAGCAAGACAGTAGTATCCATGCTTACTTCATCGATTATTATTGCTCTGACATACTTAAATAATGATCTACGTTGATGTACGACTTCCATAGTCAATGGCAACAATTTAAAATTTTTTTTGTGCTGTCTTTTTCACTCTCTAACTCGAGTTATATCCTCTCTGTGATGAGAGGATGAAATGTTGAACATTTCTCTGGCTTACGGTATATAGGTCCGATTTTTAACTTCTTCTGAAATATTTTAATACAAATGAAAAAAGTAGTTGTCTCGAGCCGACTTTACCCGAATAAGCGTTTCACAGCAGAGTATGACGGGGCCAGTCACATTCAATACCCACAAAAATGTCCTAAGCACGCCTCAAGAAGTAAAAAATATATGATTATCAAGTTTATGAAAAAAAGTGTTTATGTCTTCTAGACAAAAATATTGTCCTTTTTTTTTTTTTTTATATGATTCATACTTTATGTAGATTAATCTGTGTGAGGCTGTCTTTGAAGGGGGATTAGCTCTGAATAACAAGATTATTTTTTTATCTTTTAAATTTACATTAAAATAAAGAATTTACAACATATATATAGATATATCATATAATAATTAAGTTATATATTTTTTGTGCGTACTTTATAAAAGGTTTCGGTTAGGTTTTAGTGATAAATTTAATATTTGACGGGTGCCCGAAAAAATCATCGCTGAAGCCCCTGGTTTTTCCACCCACCTCTGTTTGTACTAATAGAAAAAAAAAACACGATTTTTCTTGTCAAAATGTTTTTTTCATAAAAATAATGACTTCGTTTGATCAAATATAAGTGAATTTCAAATAGAAAATAGGTCCAGTGTAGCTGGTTTCTTTTCAGAATAATTGTTTAAAACATATATTTAAAAAACTTTTTTATAATGTCTAAGCGTGGTTTAAGTACAGTATCTCTTCATCGAATAAACAGTTTAAAAAAAAAATCACGCACACACAAAAAAAAAAGAAGCTGTCCAAAAGTTCACGTTTATATTAATTCAGGACCCCATTAGTGTGGGGAAGAACGTTATGGGACGCGGTAAAAGTAGTATTGATAATTATAGTTTTATAGGTTGTTAAATTTTAAAATATCATGAGTGTCTAACTATCTTCAGTACCTAATACTTAGCATTTACATTAAAATATATATTTACAACTTTTCCTGCTATTGGTATCTTCAATCTACAGGGTGTCTCTGTTCTCTTAATGGGCAAACTGTGAGGGGAGAGGGGGTTGATTCTAGACAAAATTTCAAACGAAAAAGGAGTTAAGACCAATTTTGTGTCTTTCTTCAGGTTGTTTTTATTGAATAAGAAGGAATCGCTTAAAAATGATTCAAGATAATTAAATCCTAAGTACACCATCTTAAAGTAGACAAAGTTTTCTTTGAGAAAACAGTCATTAAATTTACTAAAGTCAATGATAAAAGGAACTTTCACTATACTGCTGCTTACGAATCGGGAATACAGAGATGAGTTAATGGGCTACTGTAACAGCAGCAGTACTGCTGTCGTACTAGACCTCCTTAAGGCACTAGCGGATCCAGGATTTAATTTTGGGGGGGGGGCTTCAGCCCGTAAGATTTTTTTTCATATAAGTATAAAAATAATTAATTAAAAAAAAAAGAAAGGAATTAACTACCTATACGAAATGATGTTTAAGTGGTTCTTGAAGTCCTATTAAATGTAATTAAACGAAAAAGAATACTTTAAGAGATAGTTTTTAGTATTTTTTTCTGTAAAAGATGGTTATATTTTACCATTTTGGGGAGGCTTCAGCCCGAAAGCCTCCTCCCCTCCCCCCGTAGATCCGCCTGTGCCTTAAGGTAACTTTTATCATTGACCGTAGTAAATTTAATTATTCTTTTCTCAAAGAGAATTTTATGTACTTTACGATGGTGTACTTAAAATTTAATTACCTTGAATAGTTTTTGAGCAATTCCTACTTCAATAACGTGACCACCTTATAGCCCTGGAGCCAGGACCCAAAAATTGACCTGATCGCAGGCGAAGGTTTGATTGTAAATTACAAAATTGTATGTTATTCTGAGTAAAAAGAACCTTGTCTGCCGTTCCAGAGCCGCTGCTTTAAAAATTTGCGGCAGATTTTAAGAATATTAGGCCAATCATTTGAGGATCGAAATGGGAAATCCATTGCGAAAAATGTGAGGAAAGGTTTTATTTTTTTAAATTGCATATATGGGTTTAGACATGTAAAAAACAAAATTGCTAGCGTGGGCCACTTGGTGAAAACTTTTTACAGACAAAAAAATCAGATTTTTTCGATATTTTTTTGTTTTTTCACCTATAACTCCTAAACGATGAATAAAAATAAAAACGCATTCTTTAATAAATTAAAGAACGTTAAATTTTGTGTCAGAGAAATACATAAACTTTATAATTTGGTTACGCGGTAAGGCCACATAAAACCACGGTCAACCAACGCTGATTTTTACCAAATTTATTAAAAACTGATCAAATCACTTTATATTCTGATCAAAAACTGAGACAAATTACTATAAATGGCCCTGTAACTTGGAAACGAGTTCCTTTAGAGGAAACACTCATATAGCGAAAGTTTTAGAGCATCAAATTTCGCGTCGATAGTGTTGCCCAAATGAGAGACCAAGATGAGTCTTGGTCTTGCAAACTCAGTCTTGGTGATGGTCTTGGTCTCGCAACATTCTTGCAGTTACTTGTTAGTAACTATTTTGCATTAATTTGTATTACAAAAATCGATTTTTTTTACCAGTCCTGGTCTTGGTCTTACAACAGTCAGTCGGCCTTGGTCTTGGTCTTGCAAAGTGCAAGTGCAAGACCAAGGCCAATTTTGGGCAACACTACTTAAGGAATACACGAAATTGATCTTAAGTACTTTCCCGTTAGGAACCGGTTCATGCATCAAATGAACTTTTTTGTTAGAAATTTTGTCTATAATCAACCTTCCCTCAGAGTTTGGCTGATAACAACTAAGATACCCTGTATATTTCCCCAAAAAATATAAATATTTTTAAATGTCATATTTAAAGAAATATGCTAGGAACATTTCCCATACTTTATTACTTGTTCTATGTTCTATTTTTTAATAAACTAGAAAAAAAAACAACTGTAACCATAAAATGTTTACAATATATCCGTACACATTCTGCGTTGATATATCAGACATGTACTTTATATTCTTATTTTAGTAGAAGAAGATATCATGGATTCTTTTAAAAGAAGGGATCGAGTTACCTTCAGTGTAATATTTTAATTTGATGCAGACAATAGATGGATAATTTAGAGGCCAATTTTTAAACACTACAGACTCAACATATCTTGCCAAGTTTACAATCTAACCGTAACATTTGTTCTAAAAACATATGTATTTAAAACTAACTATAATCTACTGTTATTTAATTTTTTCATATTTAATAATTAGAAGTATTAAAAAAGCTTTTTATTCGTACATTATTATTTCTTTAGCTCTTTACTTTTTAATTAATTTTAATCTTTCAGACGTTTAAGTATATATCGTCGGTTTACTGCGAAAATTCATAACCTTAATCACCAAGATGAAAGAATTTTTCCTTTGTGAAATCAAAAAATTGTGTGCTTGCTGTAACTATATTTGATATATACATATATATCGAATGGTTTGTGTTATTTGAGTTTTCTGATTTTTTTTTGATTTTTTTTTTTGGGGGGGGGAGAGAGGGTTTGTCTCCAAATAAAGTCGAAATTCACAAAAACATTGTTAAATGTTCAGCTCCATCAAACATATACTTATTGTTAGTGACTTTTTGCAATAAACCCACGATACATAAATATATTAATACTCAAATTTCAGATACAGTTTTTTGAAAAAGTATTCTTTCTATAATGTATGAGATAGTATAATGGAATTTTAAATCGCATTTTTATCATTTATGAAGGCTAAAGATAAAGAATATTTCTAATTTCAAGTTCACTAAATTCCCAAGCACTAGAAAAACATTTTTAAGGTTAGGGGCGTGTCCGCTATGAATGTAAATTCATTTCCATATTATTTTCTTCTTAAAGTCATATAACTAAAAAGAACTTGTGTTCCTGAGTGCTGTAAATTTTATCTTTCCTAATTAATAAGCTTTCAAAAATAATTGTTTATGCACATTTTTATTATATAAAACTCATCAAACCCCATTTCTTATTTCAATGCTATACCATAATTTATTTCTTGAAATTGTATTTTGATCTTGTGAAATATAATTTGAATATATATATATATATTTTAGATAAATTTGTAGGTTATAACAATAATGCAACGCTTTAGGTTGTCATAGCGATTCAGACAGTTGGTTAATTATTTTTGCATTATTAAGATAAAAGTTTAATTTCAATTTAACAGTACTTATTTATATTACTAGATCCTAGAATAAACTACCCTAGTGAGACTTTGGCAAATCACTTTCTACAGGATGACTTCACCCAAGGTTATCTATCGCATGCTTGGATGGAGAGGTTAAGCGTTTCGCTGAAAGTATCCTGTCCAAGTGAATTCTTGACAAAAAGGGGTCACAGTTTGGGTATTATTGCCCCCTTACCTGATGCCTGGAAATTGCGAGACTGCTTGTGCTTACTACCTCCGGACCCCATAGGGTCCCCAGGACAGACTACTGGTCCAGTTTGGACCGCGGCCAGCAGGCGAGTCGACAAGAATAGCCCTCTCTCAGTTCTTCTATTAATCACTTTTGAAGCCATGGCAAAGCTTGCAGAACGATTGAGTTGGCTGTACACACATATCCGTAGTTTTCCACGAGATCTTTGGACAATGATTGATATAAATTCAATGTCAAAATAAATATTGGCATCTCGTAGAGAAATTAAGGCAACTTCCAAGTCCTCATTACAAAGAATATATTTAAACACACGCACTCATTCATTGTTTCATGTATATAGATGAAAATAATTCTACCACATTTAGATCACACAGGTAGACAAAATATATATTTTTTTTGTTTTATATTCTAATAAAAATATTTTGATTCTATATTGATAATAATAGTAACCAACATATTCAGTTATTACTTAGAGTTTTTTATTCATTAAATTAACAGTTTAAGCAAAATTGATGGTTAGGAATGAAAGCCTTTGAACTACAATTCAGTAAATTTTTAAAGAAATTGAAAAATGGTTTCAAACAAAATGTATGGAATGTAAATTTAGTTCATTTTACTAAGCAGTGCAAGCAATATTTATTTATAGATAACTGATATTTGTGTACTTTCTAATCTTTGCTTGAATATAGAGTTCCGATATTGGAGCCCCATGCTTTTAATTTACTGATAGAGTCAGGAGGTTTTTATTGCCTCCCATCAATATATGCAATAAACATTGTTATCGCAGATAACCTTGTTAACTTTGCAATAAAACAGCTATATCGTCGATTTATTGCAAAAACTGAACAGCAATAAGGTTCAAGATTAATAAAGAGGCAAACCTAGATCAAGCCCATCTATCGAACTAGAGCGTGTTATCCTCTACAAGGTAATTTATGCAAAAAACAAAAAAAAAAATAAATAATATGAGGATCACGTTGTTCATGTCCTGTCTAATATACATACAAGCTGATCTTAGTCAGCAAATTTATGTTAAATGTACATGGTTGTAATTTTTTAAAAAGTTTTTCATCTCTAGAAACTTAAATTTATTTTGTTTTTGAAGGTAATCAGATTCTTCCTAATGAAAGTTAAGCTATGAGGAAACCACTTTATATTGTCTTATAATTTCTTCACTTCTTAACTAACTCGATGAACATGATATTCCAACATCTAAAGTAATTTTTACTTTCACTTACTTATATATTACATATATAGTAAGGGTAAGTATTGCGATCGTGAAAATTTTCGAATCTCAGTTTTCAACGGATATACATGTTTTGAGGTCCCCTGAGTCCAAATAACCAAGTGTCGCAAAATGGTCTCTGTGTGTGTGCCAACAGTATAGCTCACAAACTAAAAGTAGTACGAAACTGATATTAAGGTTTGTATATGGGCCGGATGTGAGAGCAACGTTTTTTATTAAAATCGGCTAACCGGAAGTGCCACTTTATATGAACGCTGAAACACATTTTTACAATTTTCTCAAAAATGACTCTAACGATTTTGATTAAACTCGGTATATCATTGTATAATTATGTGGTCTTTAATACCATTTAGGTCTTATCTCCGTTGACGTCACCTTACAAGGCTTAAATGCCCAATGTTCATATATGTCTTCCTCTAAAGTACCTTTAATATGGTTTATTTTAAAAAGTTAATCATTTCGCATTATTCAGAGTTACGAAAAAATGCTACATATAACTTTTGAAAGAATTTGATAAGCTAATAAAGGAGAAAAAATAAAAATAAAAATGCAGAAAAACCTGCGTTGCTATAGACTGTAGCACATAAACGAATGTACCGATTTCAATGAAACTTCGCTAAAGCCATTTTCTCGACACCCTTTAAATTTATCTATATAACATATTTCAACGAAAAGAAGCTGGAAAAAAAAGTTACGAAGGATGGTAAAATTAAATTCCGAATAACTCAAAAAGTATACACTTTTTTGTTGATATTGTAATAAGTTGCTTCAAAGGTTTTTAAATTTCCTAAAAAATGAAATAAGTTTCATCGAATTCGAAGCACTATTAGTAAAGATATAGCGATTTTAAAATATTTTTGGTTTATTATTACTTTCACTTACGTATATGTTACGTATATATTTCACTTACCGGTTGCCCCATCCTATGGCCGGCACTGATTTCAATAGTATATATAATTGAAATGGTTTCAGATACAACTCCTGTCGCTGTACAACTACAACGGATTCTAGCAGGAGTGGCTTTTGGGCTGAACCTAAATTTTTTTTAAACTGTTTTATTGGGTAGTATAACATTCTGTCACCATAAAGGACAATAGTTCCTGAGAGAAAAGAGCAAATTAATACCATATTTAATTAAAATTTAAGAAATAATAACTAAATAATAGCCCGAAATAGTCTTTTTTATTAGCCCATATTTGTATCCCTGGATGATCTGAGCGAAATAATTAAACAATCACAATAAGTTATTGTGATAATTATTGTTATACTCTCTTTAAATTATAAAGTTTCAATGCAGCTACTACAGATAAGCGTGTGTCAAGAAAAAAAAATTCCTATTAGCTTTATTTTTCTTCTTCTTACTACTACTTATCTTGAATCCACTTATGACATACGTGACATTTTAATACTACGCAAAAAATATTTTGTACTAAAATTTTCATAGATGACTGTTTACAAAAACATAAACAATCGTTGTATTATGTAATATATTACTATTTGCTATTTATACTATGTAAAGTGTTTTATTACATTAAAATATGTGCCAATGAAGAATGTAGCGCACAATTGGCCTACTAAGGCCGCAGTTATTAATTACCCAAAACATGTCTCAACTCTGAATCGATAAAAATTACATATATGTTCATTCTGGAATAATCATTACAATAAATGATTTTTTTTTTTCTTTTGTTCCTTCTTAATTTCAATAAGTGCTTGACCTCTTCTTACGGGGCTATTTGGAGCGGAAGGTGAACCAAAATAAACCGATCACTTCAGTGGTTGCAGGTCATTCCTCTTAAACTTGAGACCTTTGAAGTGACTTAGGTTACATTGTATTGAAGAAGAAAAAATTGTTTTAAGTCATTAAAAAAACAAAAAACGGATGTGCTTTATACCACACAATATAAGTAAAAACATCAGCAAGGGGAGATTAATAATATGAAATATAATATTTTTTGTTCTATATTCACAAATTAATAACATTTACAATATATGCAATGATAATTTTGTATAAATTACTCTAGTAAACTTTGCTCTGACTGTCATTATTTGTATCATATTTTATCATGATACTTTTGATTGAAATCTAATTCTGTAACGGGGTCAGTAATTTGTCGAAACTCTATCGAGTGGAACAGAAAATCTAATAGAAACACGTAATTTCTTATTTTTATAGCTAAAAAAAAATACATACATATATATATTGATTTCCACAAATTAGTTTCTGAATTCTCCATGGACTTTAAATTATGAGATATTTTAGAATTTTGAATTTTGAGATATTATGTTCAAACAGTTGTTATCGTTTGGTTTTCGACACTATCTTTTTCCTTTTCTGATTCTATAACTATAAGCAAAATCATATATTTTCTCTCCGAAGAAGGAATCTTAAAAAATATCTGAACCTCTCACGCAGCACTCCCCAATTCTTTTTTTTCTCTTACTATTTTTTTTACCTGAAACCTGAAAATTTCCCTTGTTTAAAGTATGCTGTTCAGGTTTTTGATTCTGAGGTATTTCAATCCAAATGCAAAAACACTTCAATTAGTCTACTCGTGCCAACTTTACCCGAATGAGCGTTACATATCTGAGCGTGACGGCTCAACCTCCTTCACTACTCAAAGAAAAGTGCAAAGTGCTCCTAAAAAAGGTTTCACTTCAAAAATTAAATAAATTAATGTCATATGCACAATGATGGTCTACACAAGTTAGTATTTCTATTTACAAGACTAAAACAGGGATTTCTAAACTTATGTAAATCGAGGTCACTTATTTTTTTTGCAAACCCCTTTCCAACCCTTTTTTTCTATTTAGTTATATTAATATTCTTTATAATAAATTATCTTAAAAACTAGTGAAGTAACAACAATTAAAAAAACCTTTGGTCGTGTAGAATTTTTATTGAATGAGTTATTTGAATAAAATCGATAAGTTAGGAGATCAGACTCGACTTCATCATGTGAAGATGTACTTAGTTAAGATACACCTTTATTGTGGGTATTGAGAAAAAAATAATAAGGTGTTGTATTCTTCTTATTCTTCTGTTAAGATGGTTTATCATCATGCCTGTGAAACAAGCGTTGTCTCCCCTATTGTGTGGTCGCAGAAGAATGCCCAACAATAGTGGAATAATTTTAAAATACTGTTTTTAGAAATGGCGTAATCGTCTTGAAGTCCTTGGACGGGTACGAAACATTCAATATTGTAATACTACTCAAGTCTCATCTGCGCTGTCTATTATGCTTCTTTTTGTTTAGTAGCTTGCTGATAGTTAAAGATTAATAAATTTGATTTGGAATTCAAAAAATGTAATTATTTAAAATTGAGTGAAGTTACTAACTAAATAAGTTATTAGTTATAGAGTTGTAAATTAAATCTACATACAGAGCTCAAAGAGGTAAAATCAGAACTGTTTTGAGCGTTATAGTGTATGTATGTATTTTATTTTCGCTATGATTTCATAAAATTATTTTTGACAATATTATTATCGTGAAAGGTGAAATCATATACCTGATATACTGGCAACCGTTCTTTACGAATTTGAACCAGAAATTGACAAAAATGGAGACATTTGAAAAAATAATGGAACAAATGAAAAAGTACGTTTTTATATTAAAAATAAAATAACTTCCGCTGGTGAGTGAAATAGGAAATTTTGAAATTCCACATTGTACCTACCCAGACAGCATATCGAAAGCAATCTAATTTTTGTAACCATTCTAGAATTTTCCCGAAATTTTCACAAGACTAATAACAAATAATTTGTCGATTAATTGCAAAAAACATTTAGTAACATTCTTAAATTTAAATCAATAAGATTATTTATTTATTATTTTTTTATTTTATTTTTTTATTTATTTTTATTTTTTTCTCTCATTACTAAGCCAGCACATCTGCTGATTGTCAATAATAATTGACAGGTGCGAATAAATATATGTTAGTGCAAAAAAAAAAAAAAATCAATAAGTACTTACATGTATTTTCCCTCTGTGAAATAAGAACATTGTTCATTAATATTTCCATGTATTTAGTGATTTTTTTGCAATAAACCAATTTTTTTTTATTTCTTAGGAATACATTATATTTAAACATCATATTTATTATTACAAAATTTAACATAAATGATTTTATAATGAAGAAGAAGAATACAGTAAGGATAAAAAGAGCAAACAATTTCAACAAATTGTATAAATTT